AAACATCAGCTAGAACTTGGAAGAGGGTGGGCAATAAAGAAGGAAGATTGAAAAGGGAAACTAGAGGAGCAACAGAACAAGTTGATGGATCTAGTTCTAAAAGGGAGAGAGATGATTAGAACAGACATTATGAAGATAGCAAGGCAGTGGAACCAGTAACAAAGGAACCAAAGAGGCAAAAGAGTGATAATAAACAGTTGGTGGTGGCCAACCTTGAATGGCCACTTGTTTCCCAATGAAGAAACTTATGTGGAACTGTAGAGGTCTGGGTTGGCCCTCTACAGTATCCCAAGTCAAAGAAGCCATTAGGCTCCACCACCCAACACTGGTGTTTTTGTCAGAAACTAGGAAGACTAAGGAATTTGCTAAGGCTTTTTGTAAAAAAATGGGATTTGGGAATAGATGGATGGTTAGTGATCCAATTGGCCAAAGTGGGGGTTTGCAGGTGTTGTGGTCCCGAGAGGCAGAGATTATCAAAATAAAATCTATTACATTTTGCTTAGAGGTAGAGGTCAAAGGTAGTATTGAGGAAGGCAACAGTTGGGTGATCATGATTTATGCCAGCATAGACAGAAGAAAGAGAGAGGAGCAGTGGAACTATTTGGAGGGTACTAAACTAGGCTGGGGGAATAAATGAGTAATTGGAGGGGATTGGAAAAACATATGTTCTGGTGATGAAAAGAGAGGTGGGAATGCTAGATCTTATGTTAGTTGTCTTGGTTTCAACAGTTTTACAGCAAGGACGGGGATTTTAGAGATAGAAATGTTGGGTAGCTCATTTACTTGGGGCAATAATAGGGAGCAGGAGGGATACATTGAGGAAAAATTAGATAGGGCATTTGGATCTCTCGAGTGGCTGGCAACAAATCCTTCTGCCAAGGTCAGCAGCTGGTTTAGAAGCTCCTCAGACCATCTTATGCTTATCTTAGATTCTAAACCACATGGAGGGCAAAGAAAAAAGAGAAGATTTCGATTTGATAAAAGGTTTTTTAAAATGAATGGTGTGGATGATGTGGTGAGGCAGGCTTGGAATCAGCAGCAAGAAGGGACCCCCATGTTCAGAGTGCATGAAAAAATTAAAACTACTCGGCTTGGACTGTTGTATTGGAACTGAGGTTTCCATACAAATAATGAGCTGAAAATAAGAAGGCTATCTGAACAATTGGAGGAATTGCAGTTACAGGGAGGTCAAAGGGATTGGTTGGTTTGGGACAGGCTGAAAAAGGATTTGGATAGAACCTATGAGCAAGAAGAGAGCTTTTGGAGACAAAAATCAAGGGTCCTATGGCTCAAAGGGGACCGCAATACAAGGTTCTTCCATGCACTAACCTTACAGAGGAGGAAAACCAATGCCATATCCAGGCTTGTTGACTTGAATAGAAGGATTAGGGAATCAAAGAAGGAGGTTTCGGAGAGTGTGATTGCATTCTATGATCACCTGTTTACTTCAGAAGGCTTATGGGGGGAAAATCAGCTACTGCAGTTACTACCAAAGGTCATATCTGAGGAGGAAAACTGCAATCTCATAGCCAAGGTGGAGGAGACAGAAATCAATAATGCTTTGTTCAACCTTAACCTAGATAAAGCTCCAGGCTCTGATGGTATGTCACCCAATTTTTTCCAAAATTTTTGGGACATAGTTAAACAAGATTTGTGTGAAGCTGTGCATAGTTTTTTTGAATCTGACAGAATGTTAAAAAATTGGAATTATACTCTGCTCACTTTGATACCCAAATGTAATAATCCAGTGTATCTGAGCAATTACAGACCTATTAGCCTATGTGGTGTAGCTTACAAGGTGGTGTCCAAAATTCTT